ACAGAGGGAAGGCTTTCAGTTTCTCTCCATTGAGAGTGATGTAGGCTATTGTTTTTGTATATATGCTCTTGATTATGTTGAGGAATTTACATTTCTAGTTTTTAGAAACTGGTCTCTCTATTGTAAAATATTTTAAATTCATATGTCATTATTACTAAGATGCTTCTAGCCCTTCCTTAGCTGCCTTAAAATAATCTTTATTTGCTGAAATTATTGCTGTATAGTCACTACTTTCTGTGAATTCCTAAAATCATTTAGATGGCCCTGTCTTCCACTTAGTAGTCTGCAGAGTTTTGACTGAGCATCCTATTTTCTGTGTAGGAGAAAATTGTAAGCCCTCCCCACTGCCAACTCTGACTGTTACCAAAACAAAAGAGGGGGCCTACATCTTGGTTAAATAGCTTTTACGTTCTGTCACCATAACAGCTTACCCCCTCGGGTTATAGGCTCAATCACACTCTATAAATAGCTCTAGATATTCCATTAGAAATAATTTTCCCAAATAAACAAACACTTTTGTTGGTAAGGGTAACAACTATTCAGAGTCTGGTAAATTGTTTTGAAGCTGTGACTACTGGTCAAGCATTTATCAAGCTTTAGTAGATATATGAAGAATAACTCTATTCCCAAGAGCTGTTCTATACTCTCTAAAAATACCTCTTGGGAGAAAAAAATTAAGTCTTCACAATAGTGATTTTATTAGTTGCTTTATAAAGCATTGCAGATGTCATAATTGTTAACATAGTAATTTATCAAACTGTAGTTAAACTGGAGCAGTTTGTTGAGCATGTTTTATGAAGAAAAGGAAATGCCAAAACCCTGTTAAAGTTGTTCCATTGCAGGCTAGGAGAACAAAGGAGTTGCTTCTCAGACATTTAAACCAGGCAGTTAAAACAAGCGAAGTCTTCCTCCCTCATCCAGCGCATTCCAACGGTAGAAATATTCTGATAAATATGAACTTGACAGTCGTTGCACTCAAGAGATGCCACAGCACTCAAGAGATGCCACAGCCTGAGATGCAGTGGAGGTTTACTTTCTTCCGTTTCAGAGTTGGAGGGTTTTGGTCATTGATTTTTAAGTATCAAACTCTAGTGGTTTTTCAGTTGCAGAAGCTTCACTCTGAGATAAGTAGTCTTCACAACGTAATTTTAATATCCTTATGCTCTATTTTAAGACAAAGCAATTTTAATACCAGGTGCACACCACATGCCCTTGCTGCAAACTACTTTTCTTGACAAGATATAAAGTAGTTTAAGAGGCAACAAGATGCAAGCTCCCTCATTTGTACATTAGCACCTAAGAGTCAAGTGGTTAAGTAACCAGCACAAAAGATCCTGTACTTCTGATTGTAGCATTGGCAGAACTGAAAGGAAAGAGAGTTGTGCTACATGTTGAAGGGATTGTGGGCAACAGAACGAAGATACCAGGAGAAGATAAAACGTTGCCACATGAAGTCTTCAAGTCTTCAAAATCTTGTACATATCCTCCATCATAACCACCATAGTCTTCCAGATCGTCTTTCATGGTAGCCTTTAATTCCCCTCCAAGAACCACATCTTTCTTCTTCTTTTTGGCTCTGCTTTGCTTTTCTTGCTTCTGTTTTTCACTGCAAAGCACAGTCAATGGATTGACAATCTTTTTTTTTTTTTTTTTTATTTTCTTTTTCATTCTGAGTTCATTGGCTTCTTGTCCTTTACATTTTTTTTTTTTTTCTCATAAGCTAAACATTGAGATTTGGTGATTTTATGTTTGAGTATACAGTACTGCAGTGTTGGTTATATAAAATACAAAAATCCTTTTGAGAGGAAGCTCAATGAGAGGCTGTATTGCATTTAAGGGCTGGGCACTGGCTATATACACAAGGGAAAAGACTTGGATTAGAAATACTCTTCTCTTTCACTGTGGCAAAATTCAGTGGCTTATTATTTGACCCTTAAAATAACATTAAATCTTTATCTTTT